CATTGGCTAAAGCCTTGAGCAACCTGCTCTGGTGGGAGGTGTCCCTGCCTGGGGCAGAGGGTTGGGACTGGATGATCTCTAAGCTCCATCCCAACCCCTTCACACATCCTGAAACTCTGAGTGAAAGCCAAACAGGTTTGTAGAGAAAGCTTTGGGGATGGGTGGAAGGAGCTGCCCTGAGCATCCAGGCACAGCGACAGGAGGAGCAGAACAAGGAATGGCAAGGATAGAAACTTCCTGGGTTTGGCTTTCTTGACCAGTTGCACTTGTTTTGCAGGTCTCCAAGGAGGAAGGCTCTGCTCTGGCCCGAGAGTTCAACTGTCCCTTCTTTGAGACCTCCGCGGCCTATCGCTACTACATCGACGACGTCTTCCACGCGCTGGTCAGGGAGATCCGCCGGAAGGAGAAGGAAGCAGTGATGGCCATGGAGAGAAAATCCAAGCCCAAAAGCAGCATGTGGAAAAGACTCAAGTCACCCTTTAGGAGGAAGAAGGATTCAGTCACCTGAACAGAGAGTTGCTCTGGGAAAAAAGGCCAAACCCTGTGAACAGCTGTTGGTTAACCAAAGCTCAGTGGTGACACTCTCAGAGGGTGTTTGGCACCTGAGAGGACATTGTGAGGGAATGAATAACTTTGCCAATTGGTTTTGCTTAGAATGATGTTCCCTTGATTCTGGATCTTGAACTTCAGGCACAGTAACAGTTGTACTTTGGTTTGTTGTAATTTTCTCAACCCATCCTTGGTTACAGATACCAATTCCTGCCCTGCACTTTGGAGTATTTATCTTCAGCCACTTGCCCCCTGGAAGATGTGTCCTGAACTGTGTACAACATTTGCTGAAGCTGTGCCCAGCCTGACTTCGTTCCTGGTTTTCCCAGTGGTTTGCACAAGAAGACTTTGCTGCTCTCTGAACCCACAGCAAAGAAAGAGCAGGACAGGAGAGTCAGGACCTGCAGCCTTGGCTGTGTGTGGAGTCAGTGAGCAGAGCTGGGCTGGATTTCTTGTCTTCTCATGGAATAGATTGTTTTCCCAGCAAAATTCATGTGGAGTCCTTGTACCAGTTTATCTAACGGAGCAGTTAGCAGCTGCAGGTGGGATCTGGACAGGTCAGTGAGGGCCAGGTTGTGGTTCCTGTGGCAGCAGTGCATGGACATGCAGCATTTTCCTGCTGGAAGCAGCACTGCCTGTAGAAACCACAGCTTGGAGTGTCCTGGCTTGTTAAAATCCAGGTGGGAATGGTGCTCTGGCTTATTTTCCAGTCAGGTTTGTGTTCTCATCCTGAAGGTGCCCAGGGAAATGGGAACCTCTGCTAGTCACTCCCAGTTGTTCTCGGAGAACTGCTCTGCAGAGATGACTCATCCTGAGGGATCTGAGCCCAGAATCTCCAGTGGGAGGAGCGGTGGAGGGAAGCAGAGGCCTGGCAGACCTCACCTCCCTGACCTAGCTGTGCAGGTGATCCAGGCAGGGCAGGAACAGCTTTCCTGGTGCTCAGTACAGAACAGTTTGGCTGAGGAACTGCTCAGGAGGCAGATCCTGCACACATGGAGACGCTTCCAGCTGACTCCTCCATGGGATCAGAGCCCTGGTGATCCTCTGCATCTTGGGTTTAAGTAGAACAAATCACAGTTGGGTAACTCAGACATGGTTAGAACAAGAACTAAGTGCCTGGAATCCTTCAGTTTAAGAGTGAGAAAGCCTAGTGACCTTCCTGATCCCCCCTGGGATCTGTGCTGGCTCTGACCTTCCTGGTCATCCCTGGGATCTGTGCTGTCAGTGCTGTCAAGACTGAAAACTCGGATGGAAAAGGATCAGTACAAGAAGTGAAGATCAGAAATAAAACAATCCATCTCTATAAAACTCCTCATTGCTTAAGATGCCACTGGAAATTTTGTGCCTGTTGGTTTTTGAGGCCATTTTTTCTCTGTGTAAGAGGGAAACAAAATGAGAATTTGTTTGGGATCGTGTTTTTTTTATATCTGATTTGTGATGAGCTAAACATTTAAATTGGTTTCTATTTCTCACCTCCTTCCTGGCAATAACCACAGGAGCCAAAAATGGTTTGCAGAAGGCTGAGAATAACTCAGATTACTCAGAATTTAAGACTTTTTTTGATGTTGCCTGTGAGCATTGGTGTGTGACTCCTCAGCCCATACTGAACCTGCCAATCACTTACTGGTGGGTTAGAGGTGTCTAGAACTTGGATAAAAAAAACCACCTAGGAGAAAACTGGAGGAGAAGGAGCTAAGAAGTTGCTCTCAAGCATTTACTGATGTGTTTTAGAGCAGCACTGAGGGAACTCAGAGCTGAGCCTGGTGGTGATGATGTTTCCCAGAGCTTTTCCTTGAAGCTAAAATCACCCTCAACTTCTCAGACCAGAGGGAAGAGGAACTTGTTGACAGTGCTGAACTCTGTCCAGGACTATTTCCCCCTCCAGATAACTAATTGTGTGCCTTACCTGAGTCCTGCAGTGCAGTTTAGGTGTTTACTAATGCCTTTGGTTGAGCTTATTGCTTCTAGAACTCTAAGAGTAGAAGAGCCCAAGCACTTTTTGTTTTTTTCATTTTTTTCTTTTTTTTTTACACAGTGTTATTCAAAGAGGTTTATTTTTGGTCATGTTTCAATTTGTACACAGAAGGATTGTTTTATTTGACACAATATATCATTTTTACTACAAGCAGTTGCCTTGGAGGTGTCAATTTGTGGTGGGGGAAAAGCTGTTCAGCCTGAGAGTGCTGAAGGAGGGGGGCAAAGCTCATGGTGTAAATGCTTCCCTTGCTTGGAAAAAAAAGAAAAAAAAGGGGTTGGTATCTTACATGGAAGCCTAAAAATTCTGTCTGGTGCTAAATTGTTTTCCATAGCTGAGTATTTTCCCCCTGTATGACTTGGTGTGGGGCAGGAGCTGCTGGGTGAGGTCTGTCCAAGGCTTTGCCCAGAGTCTTGGGGCAGGATGAAGCTTTTGTGCCTTTGCCACTTCCTCTGGGCATTGGTTGGTTGTGGTTTGGTGTTTTGGACTGGCAGAAAATAGCTGAGTTTGGGCTCTTGAGCTTTGGGAGAGTTCTGGGTGTTCTTCCCCTCAAGGGATTTATATCAGAGCCAAATTTGGGAGTGGTGAAAAGCTCTGGGGTCTCTCCTGTTGGGTTGAGGAGAGACATAGAGTCATGGTTTGGGTGGGAAGGGACCTCACAGAGCACCCAGTGCCACCCCTGCCCTGGGCAGGGTTCCTCCAGCCCAGCCCAGGATGCTCCAAGCCCCATCCAAACTGGCCTGGAACACTCACAGGGAGCAGCCACAGCTTCTTTGGGAAATCCATTCCAGTGCCTCAGCACCTCACAGGGAGGAATTGCTTCCCAATATCCCATCTCTCCCTACCCTCTGGCAGTGGGAAGCCATTCCCTGTGTCCTGCCACTCCAGGCCCTTGTCAATAGTCTCTCTCCATCTTTCTTGTAGCCCCTTCAGGTACTGGATCATTTAAGTTGGAAAAGACCTCCAAGATCATCAAATCCAACCCGTGACCCATCTCCACCTTGTCAACTAGCCCAGAGTGCCATGAACACCTCCAGGTGCTGTGTCTTGAAGACCTCCATGGATGGTGACCCCACCACTTCCCTGGGCAGCACATTCCAATACCTGACAGCCCTTTCCATGGAGAAATTCCTCCTGATGTCCAACCTGGTACAACTTGAGGTGAGCCTGATCCTTCCTGGCTACAAACTCCTGTCAGGGAGTTATGGAGAGCTCAGATCCCTCCTGAGCCTCCTTTTCTCCAGGCTGAGCCCCTCCCCAGCTCCTCTCCAGACTGACTCTCCAGCCCTGGAAGCTCTGGGAAGCTCTGGCTTGGCTTTGAGGAGTGTTTGGAGCCTTTCCAAGCGCTGACAATAAGGGTGTAACCACAGGGGCTCCGTGCCCAGCTCCTTGAACGCTCCAGAGCCAGTGACTGCATTTCAATGAGGGTGAGATCAAATCCCTCGGGAGCCTCTCGAGGCTGACAGAGGCTCAGTCCTGCGGGTTTGGGGCTGCGGGAGGAGCTGTTCTGCCTCCTGCTCGCCGGGGATGCTGACAGAGCTCTGCCCCAGCCTGTGCCAGCGGCACTGACTCACATCGCCCTGGCAACACCATGTGCTCCTGCGGGGAATGAGATAAGGCAGAAGCTGAGCTGGAGGAGGAGAGACCCAATTGTGCCAAGAGCAGTGCAAAAAAAAAAAATCCCTGCTGGTTTCACTGGCACAGCCAGGGAAGGTGGGAAGGGAGTCAGGGCTGAGCTTCCATGCTCTCGGCAGAAACACTTCTCTTTTCATGCTTTGTCAAAGCCTGTGGGTTTGCTTTTCTTTGCCTCTTTCTTATGCAAATCCTTTTGTTTCGGATGGGCTGAATGGAGGAGGAACCTGAAACCGGGAGGGTTTGAAAGGCCTGTGCTGGTGGATGATGCAGAAGTCAAGCAGAGAGGGATGGAGAGATATTTTTTTTCCTTCACGGAAAGGAGGAAATAATCAGTGACTGAGCAGTCTGAGCCAACTGATCTAAGAACTGTGGTTGTGCCTGCACCAGGCAGAGAATCCCAGACTGGTTTGGGTTGGAGGGATCTTAATGCTCATCCCATTCCACCCCTGCCAGGCAGGAATACCTTCCACCAGCCCAGGATGCTCCAAGCTCCATCCAGCCTGGTCTGGGACACTCCCAGGGATGGAGCAGCCACAGCTTCTCTGGAAAATCCATTCCGGCCCCTCAGCATCCTCACAGGGAGGAATTCCTTCCCAATATCCCATCTCTCCCTGCCCTCTGGCAGTGGAAAGCCATTCCCCCTTGTCCTGCCACTCCAGGCCCTTGTCAACAGTCTTCTTCCCATCTTTCTTGCAGCTCCTTCAGGTCCTGGAAGGTCAGAATTCATGCCAAAAGATACCAAATGATGATGCTGTGCAGATTCCTGAGAGTTTGGGGATATGCTAAGGGTTAAGTAATGGTGTTATCATAGGAATATGGAATGGTTTGGGTTGGAAAGACCTTCAAGATCATCTCATCCACCCCCTGCCATGGGCAGGGACACCTTCCACCAGCCCAGGTTGCTCCAAGCCCCATCCAACCTGGCCTGGAACACTCGCAGGGATAGAGTAGCCACAATTTCTCTGTGCAACCTGTGCCAGTGCCTCAGCACCTCACAGGGTACAATTCCTTCCCAATATCCAACCCAGCCCTACATTCTTTCACTTTAGAGCCATTCCATTCCAGGGCCTCACAGGGAAGAATCAGTGCGTAGAGTTGGCTCTGGGGCTGTTGTGTTGGAGGAGGAACATGAGGAGGTCCAAGGTGTGGAAGGCAGAGAAGCTTGTGACATCCCAGAGCAGCTGTGGCTGCTCCATCCCTGGAAGTGTTCCAGGCTAGGTTGGATGGAGCTCTGAGCATCCTGGGCTGGTGAAATGTGTCCCTGCTCATGGCAGGGGGGGGAATTAGACGAGCTAAAAGGTCCTTCCAACCCAAACCATTCCATAACCCTCACCTCTGCTGCAGAACGA